GAAGTCTGATGGACTTTGAGAAATTTGGAGACTTGGCAAAGTATGGATGCATTTCATGGGGTGCATCATGATGGACAAAATCATTGCCAAGTGGGTTAGTGATTACTATAGACCCAAATTCTCCTTCCCATGTTAGGTAACTAGATTCAATTTGCTTCAAGTGGTACTAGATTTAATCTCCTACAAGTGGCATCTTTAAGCATCTAGTTACTCTTCATGCCTAGGTTTGTATTTGCATGCTTATATCTTTTGTCATGCATACACTAGGTATATCTTATGGTAGGCTTGCTCGGTTTCATTCTTATTCTTTGGAGCAATCCTACATGGTTTAAAATTATTTAGGAGCATGGCATATAGCTTGTCTTTCGATTGTTCATCTAATATGTACCAAAGTCCAAATTATAGATAATTTCTCCCGAATATCGCATTTGAAAATGACTCACATTCATGTGATGTCATCTTTCAAGTGGTATTTTTTATTCTAAAATCAATGTGCATGTTTCCTACAAGTATTTCATACTTGTGTGCACAAATTTAGGGGGAGTTTACTCTACAAGTTGGATGCTTTGAGACTAACACCTTTTCAAGCTTATCATGTGTGTAGTAGTCTCATTACAAGGAAAATGGAGTCCCTGAAATTAAGCATCATACTTCAAATATCCACCACCTATTGCAAGTGGTAGAAATCAAATTGGTTTCCACATGTGGTATTTCTAAACCGATATCATCATGTTGATTTCATTTTGATATTTATATGCTTTCTCTAGATTAAATTCCCTTGAGCAATAATTTACCAATTATGCATATGATTTGCCTTCTACCATATGTATGCATATATTTAGGGGGAGCTTAATCTATATAATGTGAGAGTCAAATTTTGTGACCTATTCCACTCTACACACAAAGGATCACAAAGTTTGACCCTCCCTTGTGCTACTAATGTCTTCCTTTTCGGTGTTTGATTCCAAAGGGGGAGAATTTAGAGGACCAAAAGCAATCATTATTTTGTAGAACCAAAAGCTAGATCATAATAATTTACAAGTGGTAATGGTCTACAAGTGGTAATGGTCCGAGAAAGGGAGGATAGTGGATTATGGATTAACCTATGTAATGGGAAGAATTTGTAGGAAGCAAGGCTTAAATTCATAATGCCACATGGGGACATTTGAAAGGGCAAGATAAGTTTTTATGTAGTATCTTTTAGTCTTACAAGTAATATCTTTTAGCATCATATAACCTTGCCCCTTACATTGCATCCTAGCAAGTAGGTATTTTTCAAATTTCAAAATTCTATTATTTGCTTGCTTTGGTCGTGTTGTCATCAATCACCAAAAAGGGGGAGATTGTAAAGAAATTAGACCATAGGCCCATTTACTTTGGATTTTGGTGTTTGATGACCAACACAACCAAATTGGACTAATGAATTTGTAAGTGATTGTTTTATAGTTCAATAGGGTGCAAGACATGACTTGGATGAAGGTGACGTGATAATCCGATGATCAACAACTTAAGCAAGACCCTAGAAGCACAAGAGAAGACTCAAGATATAAAGCAAAGTCCAAGCATAAAGATAGGAACCAAGCTGGACGCAAGATCGTGAAGATACAAGCTCATAGAGGTGACCAGATGCTGGAAGGTGATCGACCGGACGCTCTGATCAGTGACTCGGCTACAGCAAGCGTCAGTAGCAGCGATCGGACGCTGAACAAGTAAAATGACCAGACGCATCGATGGCACTATTCATCATCCCGGCAACACATTCAGCATTGATCGGACGCTGGCGGTAAATCAACCGGACGCAGAACTGCAGCGTCCGATCGAGTATAGAAAGGTTCCAGAGCGGTGAAATTGCGACCGGACGCGTCCGGTGGCATGTGACCGTACGCTGGCAGCGTCCGATCAGTTGATCGTGGCTCTAACGATCGGGACGACCGGACACGTCTGGTCAGGACGTGATCAGCGTCCGGTCAATAGTAGAAAAGCGGGATTTCGTCCCCAACGGCTACTTTCTCAGTGGGGCTTATAAATAGACCACCCAACCGGCCATTTGAAGTGGGTGGAGCTGAGAAAACATATCAAGGGTGTTGATACACCATTTTAGTGATCTCCACTTGCATAGTGCTTAGTGATTCATTAGGTGATTAGCATAGGTGCCTTACGAAGTGCTTAGGTTGATTAGACCATCTTTTATGCGCTTGCTCTAGGTTTAGGCCTAGTGTTTAGTGAGGTTTCCATACCTCTTACCACTCAGTGATTGCGCGCACTATTGTTGTACATCAGAGGGGCTTGTAGTTTTACGAGATCACACCAACCATGGTAGTGGTGTGGCTGCCACCATGTACCGGAGGGAACAAGGCCCGTGGCGTTTCGGTCGGAAGCTTGATAGTGAAGACGGCGGGAAGCATCTGGTAGAGGCTTGTCAGAAGGCACGTCGGAGACCCACTTGCGCGTGGGGAAGGCCCGAGGCTATCTACGGAGTTACCCGACCGGGAGCTTGGCCCTTGCGAGGGATTCCTTGCGAGGGGCTCCAACGAGGACTAGGGGGAAGCTTGCGTGCTTCTCGATACCTCGGTAAAAATACCAGAGTCGTGGATGGAAGTTTGCATATCTCTACCTTGCTCTTTAGCTTCCACATTTACATTGATTGTATTACTCCTTTTGCGGTAGAGATAGCAACACACTAGCAAAACCATAGGCGCACATTTAGATAATTTATCTTTTGCATAGGTTTTGCTAAGGTTAGTAAGAGAGGCCATAATTGAGAAGTAGATTTTTAAGTTGCCTAATTCACCCCCCCCCCCTCTTAGGTGTCACGGTCCCCTACAGGGTGAAGGATCTGGCCAGGGACGAAGGCAAACATGGGCGCTGGCCCATTGATGCTGGCAAACTCGGGGTTCCCATGGCGGATGCGGCCACCGGGGGCCATTCCATGGGTGAGTCCGTTAATGGTGTGAGGAGCCATTGCTTCCATCTCAACATGGAGAGTGCGCGACTGTCCCCTATCTGGCGTGCCAACTGTCGATGTTTTGTCACCTGATGAGTGAATTTTTACGTGTGTCGCGCTGCTCTAGGAAGACGATGGTAGCATCCAAAGACATAAGGAATTATACTGGTTCATGCTGGACCGCTACGTCTAGTCTTAGAGATAGTTTGAGTGCGTGTTCCTCGGTTGAATGCTTTGAAGTTCTTACAATAGGGTATGCAAGAAGAGTGAAAAAGGTAGGAGGGTGGAGAGGGACTGCCTAAATGAAGTCTCAAGAGTCCGTCCCCTTGGAAGGGTGCCCTGGCTATCCTTATATAGAGTCTAGGACCAGGCCACGTACAAACAGATAGGTTCTCCCAACCGTGTGGTCGTGAGCCTGAGGGAGAGAGAAACTTAGTAAACTTGGCTTGCAAGGAAGGCCGTCTTGTCCTGGCGTTGGTGCACGTCCTGGCGTGGCTGTCGTCATGGTCTTATGCCTACTCGCAGCATGGTGTGGCATGATGCTACAATGCCAGTCAGGACGGCACTGTTGGCACGGTATTGGTTCGCCAGTTGTCCTGTGCGATTTGAGCTTGTTGTGCCCTACGTCATTGTCTTCGTCCTTCTGGGGGCATTAGTCTGGGAGCAGGTGGTTGCCCTCGGGTTGTCGGCTGTCTTGCTAGCCGTGGTGTCGGTGACCACGATCCCGAGCTTCGGGGTCGTGGCCTTCTTTGGCTTTGATGGCCTTGAAAGTTAAGGTCGTAGTCGCGAGCACCATCCCATAGTAGGTGGGGCCGTACGTCTATCCTGTCGGGCAATATTTGGATGGTGGGTCACCGTACTGGTCATCACCGCCTAGCGGTGCTATCTTGTCTACGCTGCGTGGTGCATGGACGGCGTCTGTCAGGACTAAACAGATAGCTGTTCCCTCTGTCCTTGCGGAGTGAGTGGGGTGTGCCTGCCCTTGTCAGAGCAGGCGTACTTGGTGGAGTTCGACCTCTACACGTTCCTTCCAGGGGTCGGGACAGAGGAGAGGTCGTGCGGCGTCGTGTGGCACGTGGTGAAAGGAAGGGGTCGGTGTTTGGCCCAATTATGCGCAGCGTACAGGAGACACCGTTGCTCGGCTTGTGCTAGCTTGGTTGGCTTGGGCTACCTGAACGGTCAACTAATCGGTGTCTTGAGATACCCTGGATATCATAACCTCGACAAATAGCTATGTTTTCTTTTATTCGCTCCTCACAGTCGGTAGGATCCATGTCTGATGGGTGGACAATGATCTAATCGAGATATCTATTTTACGTGTGTGGCTACATGTTTTTCTTTTTATCGCCGGACAAACAAAATGAAGCTTTCTACTCTCTCCATACCTTTTATCTACCGTTCTAACTCCCCGAGAAGTCAAACGTACTTAAGTTTGACCAAATATATATAAGAAAATATTAATATTTATGGTACATAATTAATATCATTAGATAGATTGTTGAATATATTTTTATAATAAATTTATCTAAACATACAAATGTTGCTAATATTTTGTACAAATGTAGTCAAAGTTGATAAGATTTGACCCACATGTTTCCCATAGTGATAAACATAAAGAGATAGAGGGGGTATATTTTTTATTATTATGTTTCAAACACATGTTTTAAAACTTTCCTATGTTTTTTCAATCATCTGTTCTGTGCATCATTCCTATATTTTTTCCCATTCTTGTATTTTTTATTCCTTTGTTCCAAAGATCCAAATCTAATTGAAAATGACCATAGATATTGGAATATCTCTTTGATTGCTACGATATGTTTTTGGCCAGGGGTAGTTTCCTCTAGCAGCAGTTCGGCAGGAAGCAGACATCAAATCCTTTAGTCTACATACATTGCATACAGAGCTTGATGTTTATACCATTTTTTACTGTTTCGGTGCAGTCATTTCGTCTATGTACACATTTGAACGACTAATCTTTTCCTTGCTGTTCAACAAGGCGCCGAAGAATCCAAAGCTGAGTCAACCCAGGCCATTGCCGTCCACTGTGGTTTCCACTTCACTTGTGCTGCCTCCTCCCATTGCAGCTAATGGCCCACGCAAACTGCGGCACGCAGCACCGGTTTGCCTTCTCGCCGATGCGCAAGGAATGGTCTTTGGAGAGGTCATCAGGGCCCTTGATGGCGATGTCATCATCGTCTTGCGTCTCCCGCAGGAGGTCGCTGAGCTTCCTTTGTGGGGCTGGCGGCTTCAGTGGTTCAGCCTTCAAGATCGCCCCCAGCGTCGGTAGATTGTGGGGTGCACGTACCGTGGTCCGGCTGGTTCGTGATGTGAACGATCTTGATGGGGTCAGATCTAATGACGAAGAAAATAAATGACACCGGCTGTCATGATTTTTTAAATGGAAATTGAGTTTTGTTACCGATTTACATATGTCAAAGGGCAGTGCCACTGCATATATTGTTACCTCCGTTGACACTGTAGAAATCATCTTCACAGTCTGATCCAAACCAAGGGGTGGCCTCAAAGAATGTCTCATCTCTGCTAGTGCCTGGAAATTTTTTTGTCAGGCAACCAACTACATGTGGAAAATGATGGAAACCTAAAATCATGATCACAGTTCTGGACAAGGCCATTGGCCATGATAACGACATGAAAGTTGGAATACTATATGATCATTGTTGCAACCGTGGAAAACTGTACACAACCAAATCATGATCACAATTCGGTCCGGGGCTCTAGGTAAGGGCGTCCCCAACCGTCCTAGCTAATTGCTAGCTAGAAGGCTTCCACATCATTGATAGAGTACACACTAAAAGATAGCAGTTGAAAGAACTATCTAGAAGGCTAGCAACGAGGGAGTCGCTGGTTCAGTTTTCTTTGTAGCTTCTCTTTCCTCCAAGTAGGATTCATACTGATCTATACGTATAAATAGCTAGTTGAGTCAGTCTTGTTGGGGATGCCCTTAAGAACTTCTCTCAGAGCAATGCTATTAATTACAGCCAGCTGCTGGATATATGCCTTCTCCTAACCCATTCATATAGTAGTTACGTCTTCACTATTAATATATGGTCGACTTATCTCTCACACAAAATTTCTTGGTTGTTGTGTCTAAGCTTGCTTTAAGCTTACAACCCGCTTCTCCTGTCTTCTCTTCGTCAGCATTTAGCCAGCTTACAGCCTGTTATTATACTTGCTCTCTTATCCATAATGAGAATGGTTCAACCGCCGATGGAAATAATCGTGCACAAATTCGCAAAGGCCCATATTCCTGTTTGCATTAATAAAGGATATTGCACATATTCCTACTACTAGGCCCGTATTTCTAACCGCAAATAAATGAGAATGCACATGTTCCCATACTCTAGCATCATCAAGAGATGCAGAGGAATGTTAACAGTTGAGCTGCCCCAAGGGATAACATGATGACATTGTTCTTTTAATATGGGTCCTGATGCTTTTTTTCCCCTTATAGAACACATGCTCAATTAGAACATAGAAACATGGGCAAGCTGGTTCTGCTTTTGGGTACACACATGTGAATGAACTACAGTGGTCCACTGTTGGACAGGATCAGCGGCATGAGCCGTTGGGGTTTGGTGTCAAAATTTATGAATGATATATGACATTTTTAAAATTTTATTCACACTTGGAAGTACTATAAACCTCTACTGCATACAGTTGTTGAACAGAGTGTCATAACATGCATATGGATTTAGCCAGTTGTTAGAAAGAATAATGCGGTGGAAATTTGAAATTTTTGTCAAGGAATCCTAAATACCATGCCACCTATAGGCTATAGGTTAGCTAGTAAACATTTCCCTAGCTATCATTTTTTCCGGGTGTTATTGAAAACAGCAAAAAAAACTTGGCCTACAAGGGGTCATGACCGCCCCCTGGGTCCATACACAGGGAGACGTTACTCGTGAGAATGGTCAATCTCTTTACATGTGCTTTGGCCTGGGACTAGCGAGGAGAGGATTTTTTTTTTGCTCTCACCCTGAAATTTGCTCCCATGGGAGTTCAAACTCAAAACCTGAGCGTGCCGACCGCCAGAACTGCTTAACCAGTTGGTTTAGCATCCTTTGGCTTACTAAAAAAGCATGGAAGGAATAAATAATTTTTGAATAATTAGCCTGCATAAAGAAAAAGAAGAAAAAAAAATCTTCGATATGGTCCGTCAAATACACTTACGCCACTATTCGGATTTAAGGTAGAGTAAGAAAAAAACTCACCGGCGTATACTAAAATATTCTTAGCCTCTGGTAATCTGGTTCATTTAACAAAACTTCAGAAATTAGTGTTATTTTTCCCCTTTCCCCGTCCGCAGTGACTGAACACTCTTTACATAGCAGAAATACTACCAAAAAATCATTGCTAACCATAGCGAAAGCACAAACATTGCATGCCCAAAATATTTCTATGATGCAAGAACAAAGAACACTCTTCGATTCACACAGATACACAAGAAGTGCAACAGAGCGAGAAGACAACGTTACCGTCATCGATGTTTCCCATGCCGGTGTCCGGCGCGACCTGCCTGCTGTTGGAGCCGGGTCCTCCTCCATCAACCTTCCGCTCTCCATTCTGCCATGGAGCAGCGGTGCCCTTCTTGGCCTTGCTACAACTCTCGCCTCTGCGAAACGTCATGCCTCTGCGTTCCGTACCCTTGGACGGCTACCGTGGAAGGTCAAACATGAGGTGATCTCACAGGAGATGTGAGCTAGAGAGATAGAGCTAGTTGACTCAGAAGGAAATTATATATAAAAAATAGGGTGATCTTACAGGAGATGTGAGCTAGAGAGATAGAGCTAGTTTACTCAGAAGGAAATTTTATATAAAAAATAGAGAGGCAGAGTGGACCAATGGGCTTGATACTAGGCAAAGCAGCAGGATAAACGGATCTGACTCGTGGTCTCGTGGTGTGTGCAAGAGACGAGATGCAACTCTCGCTTTGAGTGTGTAGGAGTTGCAGATTGGGCAAGGGATTGAATGGAACATGAGATGGATTGATATTGGGAGCTAACGCTCCGTTCTGCAGAATTGACGAATATACGGACAGAGACAGCAAACCACTTAGCAAGGCAGTAGGGACCGGTTCGGGTAACTGAAAAACTGCTCGATGAATTGGCCACGAAAAATGTGCTCGCAAAACTTTGCAGATGATTAGGAAATCACAACCGCATCAAATTCTGATTCTTTTAACCTCTCAATGCACACTAGTAAAATGTTGCAACTCTTTTTTTTCTTTTCTTTCTTGATGGAAAGCAACCCTGATGTCTTTCTTATATCGAGGATGAAACTCCAATCTTTTACACTCCAAATTCTGAAACTGCAGCTCTTGTACGGTGCAATCCGGCCCACACCAAAATTGTGATATCATGAAAGCTAAACTTTCCAATTCCCCTCTTCTTTGGAATTGTTATATGTCCTGCTCATCTTTGGAACTAAGATTTCGGAAAGCAGGTAAACATCATTGCACCAAGACAAGCTGATTGAAGTGGATATTCCACTTGGGACGAAGAGAAAAAAAATGGACAATAAGTAATACTTCGAGAACACATGATGGAAATACAGATGGACGACATATAGAAACTTAAAATTCACATAATGCCATTTCCATTCCAGAAAAATGGAAATACAAGTGTTCCATAGTAATAGACATAGAACAAGAAAACAAAATGAACACAAGATTCAGAAGATACTAAATTCGTAGCGGCCGCTACAGCAGCCGCAATAGTGGTAGCGGCACCTTGTCGCTACCGCCCTGGACATAGCACTCTTGGAACTTAACAACCGCTATTTGGCGCAGCAGGCCGCTATAGCGTTCGCAATTCTGCGTAGCAGGATGCAGTAGCAGGCCAAGTCAAAGTTTGTAACTAGTAAAATTTTGTAACTAATTCTGAGTCTCAACATAAGTATGTCGTTGATGCGCACTTTCATATCTCTATTCAATGAAGAGTGGGCCCATTTGTTGCAAAATTAATTAATGATGAGCCACTAAATCAATGGAGGACATTATGTTTGTTTTTTTAAAGTTATCCAACACTACCTTGGGCATGACACTGCTTACTCCAAGTTAGGCTAGACAAAAAAACTCGTTGAGCTGACTCGGTGGCTCGTTCTAAAAGTGCTCCGATTGAACTCATTTTTCTTTTAAAATAAAAAGGAGTTGATTTTGAGTGACTCGAGACTTTGGCTCGGCTCGTTAAGCGTGGTTTGATGTTCGGTCTCAAATTACTTAGAAGGCTATGATAATATGATTATGTCAATTTCTAAGAAAGCTCAAAAAAGTGTATTTGGCTTATTTACAAGAATGCATAATGCATGGTCCAATACTTGTGTCCTAATTGAGCATGATATGGTGGGGTTTCCAGGATCTTTCTTCTTTTCTGATTCTTGGTTAAGTATAGCAGTGCTACACTCTTCAATTAATTTTACCACATCCATGCTAGCATGGGTCACTTCTTTTTCAGGATGTCTTTAAAGTGTCTAGCATAAGTTGGTACCTGCATAACATAACGGTATATGCACATAAAGTTTTTAGATTATCTCAACAAAATTTTTGAGTTGCTCGTCCATGGATGGTTTGTGGTTGCGAGTGGGAAATGACAACACCTCATTGTTGTAGAATTCATGAGAGATGTCTTCATTTTGTCCTTTTTGTACTTTTGGTGTTTCTTCCTCTACTACATCAAATGTAGTTTTCTTGCTTGTTGGGTTAGGATGTGGTGGATCACGAGTAGAGCTACCACCTCTTGTGGTCACTGCATTTACCTTCTCTCTATGGCTAATTGCAGGATGAACTGGAATTGCAGATCCGAACTTCGCTAATTGAGTTTCTAGCGTTCTATTAAAACTAAGTTGATCTTTCATGGTAGAGGAAAAACTTCCAAATTTAGCATGAATATTTTCAAGGGTCTAATCATTCTCATGCAATTAATCTCTTACTAATGTTTTCATTTATTTTGGCTTGACCAAGAACAAGATCTCTAAACGAAGGTTAAGTACTATAAACATTATTGGAATTGTCACCTCCATTGGAGCATTGATTCCATCCTTGGTATTGTTGTGGAGATGGCAAATACCCACTGGTGTTATTGAAGACAAAATTTAATTCCTTCCTAGATTCGGGGCAATCATCCCTAAGTGACCATGCCTTCCACATACCACGCATGATGATATGTCACATGTTGCTTGCGCGGAGGCATGGTACTCAATTGCAACACAGTCTTTCTTCCAATTGAACTCTCCTCTAGATTCTTTAGGAGAAAATCCATTTTTGATAAGCATAAGGAAAATGGACCATCGGTCCATTTAGTTTGGATTTTGGTGTTTGATGATCAACATGATCAAGTTGGACTAAGGTGTTTCAAGTGTTTGTTTTATAGTCCAATAGGGTGCAAACATAACTTGGATGGAGGCGATATGGTGATCCGATGATCAACACCTCAAGCAAGACCTTAGAAGCATCATGGAAGACCTAGAAGATCAAGCAAGTCCAAGTCACGAAGGATGAAACCAAGCCGGACGCAAGAATCACGAAGAAACAAAGAAATCAAAGGACTGCAGTGGCGTTGGACCAAGTCATATATAGAAGACTATATTTGATAGGTATATATATAGGCGTTGTACCAGTTTGCTCTAGTCTGACCCAGCAGCGAACCTAGGCAGCGCAGCGTCCAGCGAGCGTCAGACCACTTTGGAGAAGGAGTCGGACTATATCTGATTACTGTTCACTGGAGGGAGTTGTATGTGAGAGTCGGACCAGGAAGTTGTATGTGAGAGTTGGAGTATATATGACAAAGCAGCAGACGCGCCCCCAATGGTCAGTTAATGGCTATATCTAACATAACCATTTGTGAGAGTTGGACCGAAGCAAACTAGTTTGACGGTACTATAGCTACTAGTCCGACGGTACGCAAAAAAAGCCTTCCAACTTTCCAACGATTCTATTTGCAACAGGGCTATAAATATGAGTTGCAGCCAGCCAAATAAGGGGTGGAGGAGTGAGGAAATATATCAAGGGTGTTGCTCCACTATCTTAGCACTCTCCACATGTATAGTGTTTAGCAAAATATTTGGTGATTAGCGTAGGTGCTTTGCAAAGTGCTTAGGTTAGTTCGACTACGCTCATATACGCTTGCTCTAATTTTAGTTTAGTGAGGTTTGTACACCTCTTACCACTCGGTGTTGTGTGCACTATTGTTATACTCGGCGAGGCTTATAAGTCTTGCGAGGCTTATAAGTCTTGCGAGACCACACCAACTGTGTTTGTAGTGTGACCGCCACCGTGTACGGAGGGAACAAGGCACGCGGAATTTCGGCCAGAAGCTTGATAGTGCAAAAGGTGGGGAGCATCCAGGAGAAGCTTTCCGAAAGACACGCTGGAGCCTCACTTACGCGTGGGGAAGGCCCGAGGCTATCCACGGATTTACCTGACTAGGAGCTTGACCCATGTGAGGGCTTCCTTGTGAGGGGCTCCAACGAAGACTAGGGGGAAGCTTGCGTGCTTCTCGATACCTCCATAAAAATAATAGAGTCATCGATGGGAGTTTGCATTTCTATCTCATCTTTAGCTTCTGTATTTATGTTGTAATCTTGGTTGTGTGCTTTACCTTTCCTAGCTTAGTTGATAGGATTGGAACCTATGTTGCATAATTATTTTGTGGTAGAGATAGCAACACACTTAGCAGAACCATAGTTGCACATTTAGATAGTTTAATTAATTTCATAGATTTTGCTAAGGTTCAAATTAGAGGTCATAGTTTAGAAATAGAGTTTTAAGTTGCCTAATTCACCCTACTCTTAGGCGTCACGGTTCTTACAAGTGGTATTAGAGCCAGTCGGCTCATTTTTGGACCTTTGGCTTCACCGTCGTTGAGCTGACGTCATTTAGAGAGGGAAGGATGGATACCTCTAGGATTCCGCACTTTGACAGCATGAATTTCCCCTGCTATAGTGCTAGAATGGCTTGCTATCTAGAAGCAGTTGATCTAGGTTCTTATAGAGTCACCCGGGACGGGATGAAACCCCTAAAGAAACCGATAAACCCATGGCGGGTGATGAAAAAGAAATTCATGTCAATTCTAGAGCTAAAAATTTCTTGTTTGATCTTTTACCATGAAAGTTTTTAACCAGGTGTTCACATTAAAAATTGCAAATGAAATTTGGTTAAAATTATATGAGCTCCATGATGGCACAAGTAATGTCCGTGAGCAAAAACATTGCCTAGCTAAACAAAGTTATGATTCCTTTAAAATAAATAAAAATGAGCTTGTTCGTGATATGTATTCTCGGTTGAATCTAATTATCAATGATCTCAATTCTATAGGATTGTCAAAGCTACGTGATGCGGACATTGTGAGGAAGATCATCTCCGTGCTACCACATAGCAAATATGCAGGCATCATCACCATCCTCCACAACATGGAGGACTTGAGCAACATGACACCAGCCATTGTCATTGGCAAATTGGTGTCATTTTAGATGTCACGCAAGATGGGTCAAGAAGAATCCTCTTCATCAAGGAAAGGCATTGCTCTCACATGTGGTGACCAAAAGGAGATGAAGGACAAGTAAGTTGAGACAAGCTCAAGCTCCTGAAATGAAGGTGAGGATGAGGATGATGATGATGAATCAAGTGATGA